TTTGTCCTGCTTCCTGGGTTAGGGTTTTAACAATGAGGTCAATGGCACTGTTGCAATTTAGCCACGCTAGCTAGTTTTTAGACTATAAAAAGTGATGCTTAAGGTGTCAATCCTACAGTAAGTCCTGTATGCAACTGGGGTCCAAATACTATTGAAGTCTTGGTGGAATCCAGTCTCAGTGCACAAACCAGATACAATTTCAGACAAAGTAGTTTTAGCTTTATATTCAGTACAAATGTTTATTTTTGCAATGAGAACCGCACAAAAAAACCTTTAGTATATAAGTGAAAACTCTATGAATTCCCTTCTACAAATGTCTAAAGTGTTTAATACAAGTCTCAAATTCACTGACAGAATTATTTGCCAAGCGTTCCGTGCAAAAAGTACAGTGGGATTGTACATTTCTCTTATTCTTTTGTACAGGACTAAAGAGGGGGGAAAATAACCAGGATTACATCATTTAGACTAGACTTCTATAGCAAGAGGATGCATTCTAATGTCCATAACTGTTAACTCATACACAAGGAGGATGGGGTGGGGGAAATTAAATAGTGTATCATCTGAATTACAACCCAATTATAAACACACATAGTAAAACAGGAAAAATAAAAACAAGAGAATAGCAAAAACAAACAAACAAACAAACAAACAAACCAACCAACCAACCCCCAAACACACCTTCGGCAGAAAAAAAAACTGAAGGAACCATTTCTCCAGCTAAAGATACCATGCTATGGTCATCATTCGGTGACGTGTAAAAAACAAACAAAAAATGCACAGAAGAGAACAAGAAGAGTACAGCTTAAAAAAATATTTAAAGTTACAGAATATGTAGATGCAACCTGTAAACGTTTCCAGATATTTGCAAACAATACAGAAGTGAGCAAGGGAAAGAAAGACTCTTGGATTAACCCACCAGTCTAAAAAATGCTACCGCTACTCAGAATTATTAACTACTGACGATAAAGGTTTGGCAAATTTCAAATGCAAAAAAGGTTGGAACATTTAAAAAAAGGACTAATATCGCTATTGACTAGATACAGGAGAGTTTGTTCTTTGCATACATATAAATTATATAATATTTGTTTTCTTTATTTTACAACCTAGGGTGCTCTCTTAGAAGTTCCAGCACTTCCAATTGTTTTGTTTTCTTGTTTGCAATGTGGTGGATTTTATGTACAATCGCAATGAGTGTGTGTGTGGTCACTCTTACAGCGGATGTGCACTTAAAAATACCCGGAAAACCCTGAGCTTAAAATTAAAGAAGGGAGGAGATGATCACCCAAAGTGCTTTCATAAGAAGAGGAGAGAGCTTGGAAAGAGGAATACTGCACAAGAAGGGTGAGAGATGGAAGCAGCTTGCCCCACAGCTCTGTGTGAGGTTCGAGAGACATTGGTGGAAGAGGTTAGAAGAGAAGCCAACGGTTCAGATTTTCCCCAGCTGCAATCTTACAACACAATGCACAACTGAAAAAAAAGACTAAAATCCAGAGGCAATTTACAGCCCGACACACAGGTCTGTTCTGGCGCTGAAGTCCTGGGACAGGACAGTTAGTAGTGACTGTTACTAGCCCCCGGGACATGGGAAGAGCACATTCCCTACCTCTCTTTGTGCTTATTCCATGCCCTACAGTGCCATGAGGGTTTGCTTCTGCCAATTCTTGGGGATCAGAGTAAAATGAAGCAAGTCCTATTCCCCTGGCTTGACTCAGCACAGAGAACCTTCTCACACTTTGCCTAATCTGAGACCCTATCAATCATTTGCCTGCAGCATAGGTATGGTACCAAATTTGCATAAAATGAAGCCAGTTATATCCATTTTTATCACAGGTGTGGGGACTTGGCTCACAAACTACAAGTCCCAGTATGCACTGGCCTTGGCCAGGCCACCAGCATGAGCACAGGACATTTGGACATTTTAGATTACAGCTGTATTTTAAAGGTAATAGCAGCCATCCTTCGTAGATCCACACTGGCACATCTCATCTAAACAAACCCCCCAAGCGATGAAGCTAAGCTGTCACTCAGCAGCTTGGGATCCTGCCAAGCAAGGGATGCTGCTTTTTGGGGTTTTCCTTTGCTGCAGCAGGATCAGCTGCTAATGAAGGTTCTTGGTGCAGGTTCTCCCAGACCAGGGACTTTCCACTAGAGACCCAAGTGGTTCTAATGATACAGTTCCCTGGGAAGATTTCCTGAACTAGCCAACAGAAAACGTGGGGCTCTACATTCCAAAACACAAAGAGATTCTCACCTGATGCAGTTAAAAAGCTCCCTATGATAATTAGATAGAATCAAGATGCATTCCTCACACCATCACCACGGGCACTCTGCTGCTTTGGGCTTGCCAGGGACTCTGGCTAGCACAGTGAGGAATCCAGAGGTTAAGATCTCTAGAGAGGAGGAAGTTGAGTGTTCTGACCATTCTCTGGGTTGGTACAAGTTTCAATCCCTGACTAGACTAGACTGGGGAGGAACCTGTCATGCTGGCCTAAGTGTTGTTTCATTGGAGGGGAAGGACTTGGGAAAGTTAATGGGAGCGGTTTTGAGATTTTTCTTGCAGCCTCCCCATTATCCCAGCCACAGCAAGCTCACACATCGCTAGGTTGGTCATGTTAGCTCAGAGAAACTTATTTGGACTAACTTCTTTTCCACTGATTTCCCTCCCACAAGCAGCAGAGAGCTCAAAGGGATGACAAGAAAGTAGCTTAGAAAACACTGAAGTCAGCTTAGGGCAGACAGTCAAATCCTACAACCTGAGGCGGCATTCAATGTTTGCTTGGTCACTGAGCCAACAGCCAAGTGGCGACTCTACTGTCCCCATCCTGACTAGATCCTCCCAGGGATCCCTGCACCCAGTTCTCACGCTGGGTCCTGGAATGTGAAGACAAGGCCCTCTCACCCCATTGCTCATGCTCCTCTTTCCACCCCGCTCATTCAAACCTCAGAAAACAAAGTTCTCAACGGAACCCATCAGCTCTCCAAGTGACTAGCTTGGCCAAGGCTTGGAGAATCCCAGCTTTTATTCAGTGGGACAAACGTCACCTCTGGAGTTAGGCATGCCCTTGTGCTTGCTTAACATAGTGTACAGCTACATTTGCGTCACAATCTCAGAAGCCAGGAAGAGACTGTGCTGGCTGCCTGATGTGCTGTGGGTGTCAGTGCATGGGGGAGGGGAGGGGGTGTCAAAAGCAGAATGAAGCCTTTACATAAGACAAGTCTCTCTATACCTTGTCCAGGATCATGGTGCCCTAAAGCATGGTAGCAATTCTGGCCTTCACTGGGGAGGAAGGATGCACATTGGCTATCTGGGACAAGCTTCCCTCAGGATGGGGACAGGAGTGCCAGTATTCCTTCCTGTGCTCTCGAGTACAGTCAGGAGACAGGGACAAGTGTTCCTCAGCAATCCTCACCGTTCTAAACAACTTCATTTGTCCAGGATCATGGTGCCCTAAAGCATGGTAGCAATTCTGGCCTTCACTGGGGAGGAAGGATGCACATTGGCTATCTGGGACAAGCTTCCCTCAGGATGGGGACAGGAGTGCCAGTATTCCTTCCTGTGCTCTCGAGTACAGTCAGGAGACAGGGACAAGTGTTCCTCAGCAATCCTCACCGTTCTAAACAACTTCATCACAAAAGGATTCAAAGAAATGTCAGTACGACACCAGCTTTTAAAAAAAAAGAGACGAGTTTATTCCATGATCAGTACAGACCAAATGCATATTCACCGTATTAAAGTAAAGCCGTCAATTACTCCAGCGCTCGCTCAATACTGACACACCAGTATTGTACTGTATAGTGGGTATTTATGGCACATAACGTTTTAACAGTTTAAAGAATAAAATTAAAAGAACACACACTGACGGTGCATGGGAAAGCGCCTGCTGGTAGTGAATGAGATTTGACAGGTGGTGGAAGGAGCCTTTCAAAAACTGCTGCCTCCACCTGCCCACCTCCCAACCACTCCTTTTAGGTATAAAAACTTTATCTTTACCATATTTTATGACATTTAAAAAACCCAAAATGCAGTTTTCTGGTTTTACAGTTAAAAATTGACTAAAAGTTTGAAACTGAGCAAAATATAAGCAGTGTTTTTACACTGAGTTTGGTGGCTCACCAAAAACCTCAAACAAATATATGCCAACTATAGTCACTATACAATACAGCCACGGTCAAACACTAGTGACAGGGTGGTATTTTCCCCTGGTGTTACTGGTTTCCCCACTCCACTCTCTAATGGAGAGACAGTTAATACCCAGTAAAGAATTGAGCAGTGCCAAACTGCCTGGAGGAAAAAAAACAGACTGAAAGAAACTGACTTTGGTTGGTAGTCTAGCCCCAGGTCCCGGAGCGCCACACAATGCTAAAACAAAATCTCACTCAAATGGCTGGTTACACTTGACACCTCCACTGAACTATTCCCTTTTTCACAAGTGAACACTTACAGAGAATGGCTCCCAGCTAAAGGCTTGTGGGAAGTTAAGTTAAAGGCAAAGCCAGTGATGAAAGGACCAAAACAGCTTGTGTATTTTCCCAGCTGGATCCCAGGTCTCCCATTCTTGTCAGGATTCTTCCATATGCAGTGAAGAGCATCTTGTGCTGTCATGACACAGCACTGTTTATTCATAGACATTCTGTAACTCAGAACCTTTATGGACTGAAAAGGTGTGGAGAACTTGAAGTCCTGGATATACTGTGAATACGTTTGGCATAGAGAATGTCAAGTGATCAGGGCACCCTTCCCAGCAGCTGCATGTCCAATCAAACCTAGTATGTAGTTGGCTTGTCTTGGTCGGTCTTTCTTCAGTGTGTGAGGGGGGGCAAAAGTCAAACTGTAAGGCAGACTCTGCTGATCCTTCTGAGGCCTTGACTGAAAGATCCGCAATGGTCATGACATGCAGAAGGGCTGCAGGAACGCTCCCCCTCCCAGCCGCCGTTAACACTATGGAGAGTCAAAGATTCGCCGGGAAATTAAAGAGTCAGGAGAAGAAAACCAGGCGTTATTAGAAAAGATTCTCTTCGAATATTGCCAACAAATCGCTCTGGAAATTCATGTCAATAGTAGCTGCCATCTGCAGGGGGAGAGGAGATAGTACAATTATAAAGGATGCAGGGTTGATGCTCAGAGGAACACATAGCAAGGATGCTGCCAATGAGTGGCACTAGAGGCCAGGAATTTTGCTGGGTTACCTAAACTTTTTACTAGAGTTTTCTAGACTCTATTTGCCCGACAGAACAGGACCTAAGTCTCTGGGCTCAGCTGCCTGCCAATCTGTTGAATTTGGAAGTATTCACTTAGGTCACCAAGGCACCAGCATCCCAGCGAAAGCGCTCTGGCCAGCTTGTGAACCCTGCCAATAAACCAGCATGCTCTAGAACTATCAAATTAAACTGCAGAGTGATATTCTGTCTCTCAGCTTATTGCCTGAACATCTGCCTCAAAGAGACCCCCCCCCCCCCGAATACCACTCCCCCCCCCCCTCGGCCTACTCACCGCCTCCCTGCGCCTTCGCTCCTGCTCCCGCTTTCTGGCCATCTCTCTCTGCTGATCCAGCATGGACTGGGAGGACTGTGGCTGAGAGCTCTGTGCTTGGGGCGCAGAGGCTGCAGCAGACACCTGTTGCTGTTGGTTCCTTCTTCTGCTGCTCCTTCTGCTGCTGCTGTTGCTGCTGCTGCTCCTGGCGTCTTCGAACTTCTTCCTGAACTCTGCGAGCTTGCTCCAGGGCGTCCTCATCATCGCGACTTCTGCCAAGACCCAAGAGTGTCAGTGGAATGGTGTGGTGCTTTGTGTACCTCCATCAGGCATGGCAGTGTCTAATACAGCTCTCTGGGGGTACTGCTGGGTCCCTCTTCCATACCTGGCTCTGGCTCATCAGGGATATGACGAAGGGCTATTTCAGAAAAACCCATTCTAGACGGGGAAGGGATGTCTTGGATTTTCCTGTTTCAGATTTGTTCCTAGTGTGACCTGTACTTTAAGAGCATCTTGTGGATGCTCCCCCAATGTGATCCCATAATCTTTCTGTGGGAACTCCAGCAATCACTGACCAAGTGAATTCTCTGATGAAAGGGCTCACATTACATTATACCCATTACATGATGACATGACATTACACCATGTGTCTAGCTGTCTCCCACAGCAATCTCCCAGTTGGAGAACAGGCAGCTAAGGGGTTTCTCCACAGAGTTTGCTGCACAGCCAAGCTAACCCATTTTGCAATGCCCCACGCTCTAGAATGAACAGTGCTTAGCACTGAGAGATCCTTGCTCAAATTGCTTCCTATCTAACAGTACTGTTAGTCAGCTAGAGAAGGCAACAGCAGCAGCTGTTACCCAGCAACACACCCAAATACATCAGTGGTGTGAACCATGAACAGAGCATGACGCTGGAGCTCTACAACTTGCGCTGGCTGCTGAGTGGGCAAGGAGCACATCTCTTCATGAGCCTGCCATAGAAGCGGAGACTATATGACACACGCTGATTACGCTCAGAGTTCCTGCACTGCAGCATGTAAGTGCTGCCATGCATCTAAGCCTACCAAGCCCAAGTGTAACCTGAGGGAGCTAGAGAAAAGGTGGTCTGGACAACAGGGCTATACCCCTCCAAAAGGCAGAAGGGGCAGTCCCTACTCTCCCCATCTTAGGTTTTGCAGCAGGATCAACCGGTTTCCAAAGAATGAGCAGTGGCTCCAAGGCCCCAACCTGACAAGTAATGCAAAGAGCAGGATAGAGAAGTGACTGTTCCCAATGTGAAAACAGCCCCATTCACAATACCTTGGTACTTTGGGGAGATGAGCTTTAGGAGCAATGAGATATAGATGTGCAGGCCTCTCACCTCATCCTCTCCTGCTCCCGCCTCAGCCGCTCCTTTTCCTTTTCCACCTGTTCTGCCTGAGCTTTGAGTGCCTTCTCCCGCTCCTCCTTCTCCCGCGCTGCCCTCTTGAAATGCTCAAAGCTGTCGCTGGAGGACTTTGCTGTGGAGGCTGGAGTGGTGGTGGGTTTCTGGACCAAGCTTGCCCACGAGCCCATGTTCTTTATCTTGAGATCCTGTGAAGTCAAGAAAGCAGTGTTAGTGATGAAGGGGGCCATAATTAGCAGAGAAAGCCTCCCAGCTAATGTTAATAGCACACAGTAGCATGATGAGTCTGTCATGAACCTACTAAGGTATTATACCTTGCACTAGCAAGGTATTATAGTTGAGCTCAAAGTCATAGTAAGAGGCAACAGAGCCCTCCCAAAATAATTTGCTGAAGGGGACACACAACCTTCAGTGCTTGTGACCTGTTTCAATCCATCATTGACAGAAAGCTACTGAGAGACGAAGTTACTTATTTGTAACTGGAGGTTCTTTGAGATGCACGGTTCCTATTTATATTACATTGAGGGGTTACACGTGCACCCAGAGTTGGATAATTGAAAGTAGTGTGCAGTGGTCCAGGCATACACCCTGGTTTACCTTGTATTTCCAGCTGATGTAATAAAGGATGAGGTGGACCAGCCATGTCACCAGTTCCTTCTTCTATGTGTAGCCTAAGCTATATCTTATCCTATCATATTCCTTTTTCTATATTTTAATAGGAATGCCAGTAATGAAAGGCCTGCAGCATTTAACTTATCTTGTACGAGTTGGCTTTAGCAGTGATGTAGCGTGATAAGTACTGGTGAATGTATCTTCTAGAAATGATTTGTTCCTAATATCTCTTTTTAGAAATTATGAAAGACTCGATGGCAAAATCTTCAGTTGGATCAGTATACAGATGGTATGCGACTCAGCATCTTGTGACACTTAAATATGTCCAAATCTGTAAGACCCAGTTAACCTACATCTTGAATTAACCTAACCGCAAAACTCCTGCTTTTTCCATGTCTTGGAATGGGTACAGGGGGGCACAGGATGATTTAATTCATGCACATTCAACAGATGTCCCAATATCACCATCCAGTCAAGTGTGCGTACATACCCACAAAATCTTAGGATGCAGAATTCTGTTTATGGCCATGGTAGGCTAGGCAATAATGATGCAAAAAGAAGGATAAAAACTGGGGATAAGGAAGCTTGGGGCTCAAGAACAAACTCTTCTTTCTCAATCAAGTACTTCGTCCTTTCATTTAAACTCTTTGCTTTACTTTACTTATTCTGTCTTAGTCTTTGCATCTAAGTTTTCCACAAGCGGAGGGAGGCTGGTCCTTCCACACCCAGTCTTCTGGGAGAAGGGGATGTAAGTATGACATTATATTAGGTAATTGTATCTGTATACTGAGTTAAGCACAAATTATAGAACCTGATTTTTGTTAATGTTACCCTCAGAGGTGATTTAATTAATCAGTGTAACAGGTACTATATGCTTTGTTCTGTTTGCCATCTTAATACCTATCACCAAATTAAAACAAGTTGGATGATATTATCATTGTGAGTGTGGCTGCTATTGTGGACCCCCAGATCCACCTCCAGAAATAGAACTCCATAGTTCTCATATATTGTAACCTGGGGTACAGAGGTCAAACCTAGAACCTTCTAGTCAGATTGGCGAATGTTACCCATTGAAATTCCATTTTACTTCTCCCTATGGCTACAAGTGCAAATCAGATCCACTGCTGAGAGGAAGGAGGGTAGGAAGTGGAATACCGACAGGGACCAAGTGGAATACAGACAGAGGGAGCCCATGACGCGGCTCAAGCCTCAGCCATGCAGCTGCAGAGGGGGGCGGGAGAGGATCGCGCATGCATCCTTGAGGCTGCCTCTTGCTTTAGGAGGCGGTGGGGCTGGACAGCTGGCACATGTGGCGTGCTGGGGCCTGAGTTGCACCACGCTGCTCCTCGTGGGCTGTGTACAGGGGCATGCAGCCAGACTGGAGCCAGCCCTGGGCAGTCCCGGAGCTGAAAAATGCAGGCAAAAGGCTGGTCCTGAGAGCCTGCACACTCTCCCCTCCCCTTCCTCAGCACTGCTCCTCTAGCGCTGCTGCCCTGCTGGTGAGTTTGCTGGGGGCAAAAGGATGTGGGGGCAGGGGTTGCAATGAGGGGCATGGGGCAATGCAGGGGATCATGGGGCTTAGGGGAGCGAGGCTGGAGGAGAGGGAAGATGTGAGGGGGGATACACGTCTTCCCACCCTAAACTCCCTCTCGTCTGTAGTGTGTGAGAGTGTGTGTGTGTGTGTCTGAGCTTGTGTTTGTTTGGCTTGTTTGTTTGTTTTTTTGAAGGAGCTTCTAAAAGGTTTGAAATCTAGAAGCCTCTGTTAATTGGCTGAGCCTCAGTCAGGGGGAGGGGCTACCAGGGCTTGATAAGCCTGTGAGTCAGCGACCAGGAGCAGTTAACAGGGAGTTTGGAGAGGGAGTTTAGAGGGGGAGGTTAGAGGGTGCCAGGACTCCTGACCTTCTTTAAACCTAACTTTTATAATAATCTATATTCCAGACATTTAATAAGCCGAGTTTATACTTAAACTTGTTCATAAAAAAATGGAGACAGAAGCCCAGCAGCAGAGTGGGGACTATCCTGTTTATTGAGTCAGGTATAACATATATGAATACCTGCCCTGTGGGAGCTCCTGGCCCTTGCAAGGAGCTCCTGGCCCTCAGAGACCGAGTTCGGCCAGGGTGGCTGAACTGGAGGAGCTAAGGGAAGTAGAGAGATATGTTGATGAGACTTTCCGGGACACTGTAGCACTGTCCCACCTCCAGTCTGAGAGCCCCAGTGCTCTTAAAGAGGATGAAAGTCTCAAGGGAACAGAGCATTCAATGGGAACAGAGGGAAACTATCCCGTAGTTGGGACCCTCCTTCCAGAGAATGTTGCAGTATCCTCTCGCACTGAGGATTCCTCTGAGGGGGAGGGAATGCCAGTTGTTAGGAAAAGGCAGGTGTTTGTAGTGGGTGATTCGATTGTTAGAAACATAGATAGTTGGGTTTGTGATGACCAGGAGAACCGTATGGTCACTTGTCTGCCTGGTGCAAAGGTTGCAGATCTTTCAAAGCATCTAGATAGACTTATGTGTAGTGCTGGGGAGGAGCCCGTTGTCGTGGTACATGTAGGTACCAATGATGTAGGAAGGGTAGGAGAGATGTCCTGGAGGCCAAATTTAGGTTGCTAGGAAAGAGACTGAAATCCAAGACCTCTATGGTGGCATTCTCGGAAATGCTTCCAGTTCCACGCGCAGGGCCAGGTAGGCAGGCAGAGCTTCAGAGTCTCAATGCGTGGATGAGACAATGGGGTAGGGAAGAGGGGTTTGGATTTATTAGGAACTGGGGATACT